TTGAATGGCCTAGACAAGTTAAGTTGAGTGTACATAATATGTTAGTAACTTAGGAAGCATGAAACGAGAGTCTTTGTGTCATTTGGTTAGTTGAATTATGAAAAAGTAAGTTACTTATGTAAAATTTGACTTTTAATGTTAGATTTCATTACATTGTGTTGACTGATGTTGTAAAGCAAGCTAAAAGTGTATTATGATGTGTATGAAGTGGTCTGAGCATGTACATGCATGTATTTGGACCCTATGAATGATTAAGTGGAAGTTTACCAACTCACTTTTGCATGATCATATGAAATTCTACAATTTCCTAGAAAATGGATCAATCCCTTGTCCCAATGGATTGATCCAAAACCTATTGTATTACATATGATCCCCATGAAAAATGTTTGATCTCTTCCAAAAAGGATCGATCCCTTTTGAAAATGGATTGCTCCCTCCGCTATGTGTTCAAGGAAAAATGGGAAAATTCAATTTATTAAAAGTTATAAGAGTTCATAAGTCTTAGTTTGGCCCTAAGATGTTTATGTATGTTTAAAATGGTCCTGAATTGAATTTGTTAATTAATGTTAGAGACTAATTTGGAAATTGATGAAATTTGTTATGTCACACTCTAATATATTAAATCATATGATAAGAGAGTCGATTGCATGACTATTGTTCATGTAAGACTTTTGATTAATTTACATTTTGGTCACTAAGTTTGTATGTTCAATTAGACTCTCGATTCATGTCCGATCAATATGAAACTTTGCTTGTCATTAAATAAAGATAGTAAATGAATAATAATGATTCTAATTAGATCATTTAACCTTGTGTATTTTAACTATGAAATGACTAGTTTACCCCTAATGAACTGGTAGCATTTTTCTTGAATTGTTCAATGATTAAATGACGTTAGTTTATTAATTGTTTATCGTTGCCATTAATTGCATCTTGTATATTTTAAATTTTAAATTGCTTTCGCTTAGCTTGCATTTTTTTTAAAGATTTGTTTTGTTCGACAAGTTCGGAACCTAATGTATGCTCAGGTATCCATGTCACCTTACATGGCCGGGCATGGGGTGTTACGCCCCGAGCCTTTTATGTGTCATTGTTGGGTACTCCTCTCTTTAAAAGGGTTATTAGTGGTACTCTCCTTCTACCAATAAACTATTTACTTCGATGGATGTTACCTTCCTTGAACATTAACTTTCTTCTTTATATCTGAAATGCAGGGGGAGAGTGAATATGAATATCAATTTTTTTCAATCCATACTAAACTACCCATCAACCTCTCTCCTACTGAACCTATCGAAACTCAGCCATCGCTTGAAACAACCACTCAAACACCACCGAATACCACCATAATTGATACAGAAAACCAATACCAAACCCTTAATCTAATGGATTCGACCTAAACACCAAATCTATCTATGTCTCCATTTATTTCCCAAATCAATCTTTTTACCTACAAAAGACGACCTAAACATAGCTCATCGGTCCCCCACACCTCTGATGCATTGTCAAGAGCCAAAACTAGGCTTAAATTCCTTGGGATGTGGAGAAGGTGATCAGAGTAACTTGAATATTTTGGTTGAGACTAGTGGGTTATCGATTACTTAAAGAAAGGGAGTAAGACTGTATACAACTTATCATATTAGTAAATGTGTTGCTTATGATAAACTAATTCATAGTTTTAAGACATTTACAGTTTAGATTGACAGCATCCATATTCTAGAGACTATAGAAGAAGCTTTAAAAAGTTCTGAATGGTAGAAGGCAATAGAAGAAGAACTCTTGGCTCTTGAAAATAATAAACCCTAGGTTATAATTGATCTTCCAAAAAACAAGAAACCAATTGACTGCCAATGCGTCTTTACATTCAAATACAAGGCCTATGACAATATTGAGCGGTAAAAGTCCAGACTTGTGGCAAACGGGTTCACTAAGACTTATGGAGTAAACTATCAAGAAACCTTTGCTCCGGTTGTGAAACTCAAACGATAAAAATACTAATATCCTTATCAGCAAATAAGGATTGGGTACTTCATCGACTTGAAGTCAAGAATGCATTTCTCAATGGCAATCATTAAGATGAGGTTTATATGCAAATTCCACTAGGGTACAGATGCAATCTGGAAATCAGCAAGTATACAAGTTTTTGAAGTCATTATATGGGATCAAACAGTCTCATCGGGCTTGGTTTGATAGATTCAAGAAGGTAGTTTTACAAGACAACTACAAGAAATGTCAATCTGATCAAACTCTGTTTGTAAAGACTGTTCCAAACAAGAAAAAAGCAATATTAATCGTGTATGTTGATGACATCATCATCACATGTGATAAATTAGGAGAAATTGAGAAATCAAATGTGTTACCAGAAAGAAAATTTGAAACCAAGGACTTAGGGACCATGAGATATTTCTTGGGAATGGAATAGCAAGATAGAAAGAAGGAATTGTCATAAACCAAAGAAAGTACATTCTAGACCTACTATCTGAAATTGGGTTTATTGGTTGCAAGCCTTCGAAATTCTCTTGGAAGCAAATTTGAAGTTAAAGAAATATGGAAGTTCAATAAATAAGGACCAATACCAAAGGTTAGTAGCTAATCTCATCTATCTATCACTTACTAAATCGGACATAGCTTTTTCGATTAGTATTATTAGCCAATACGTGAATGATCCTAGAAAATAACATTTGGAGACATTATATCAAATTTTGAGGTATTTGAAGATGATACCAGAACATGGGTTAATTTTCAGAAAACACGAAGATAGAACAATCAAGATTTTCTCAAATTCAAATTGGGCTGGAGAATTAACAAATAGGAGATCAACTACGAATTATTGTTCGTTTGTGTAGGGAATTTTGGTGATTTGGAGAAGCAAGAAATAAGATGTAGTGTCCAAGAGTAGTGTTGAAGCAGAATATCGGGCGATGGCACTTGGAATCTGTGAAGGCATTTGGTTACAAAGACTCTTGACTGAGCTAGAGGTTTGCGACATAACCTACTTTGAGCTTCAGAGTGACAGTAAGTTAAATATAAGTATTGCTAAAAATCCAGTCACGAAAGAACCAAACATGTGGAGATCGACAGACACTTCATTACTGAGAAGGTGAATGGCGGAACAGTAAAACTAAACTATGTCTCTTCAAAAGGCCAACTAGTTGAATTCATGAATAAGGCGCTTCCAAGGATCAATTTCGACGAGATTACATCTAAGTTGAGTCTCTATAACATCTACTCCCAGCTTGAGGGGGAGTGTGAGTATATTACGTTTAGATGTACTTATGAGTGTTCTACTTTAACACTAACTCTAGAAATAACCTCTAACTTATCTAGGACTCTTAATCAATACTTGTATAAAAATAACCTTGTTGTATCTAATTCATTCAAGTTAAGAAATAAAAAAATCTCATTTATCGAGAACCATATTTCTACAATACACCTAAATAAAAAAAATAATATTGTTTAGCATTTACTTTTATATTTATTTTAAGCCAATCTTAAATAATATGAAAGTTTTAAAACTCAAATTGACCCGAACAAAAGGTAACCGACCCGCCAAAATGACCTGCTGTGTGGACAAGGTTAGATTTTGCGGGATAACATTGTTTCATCAACAACAGTATAAAGATGACTACTTTACATCGTCTATTCAGAACAAAGGTTCTCTAAAAATCATCTGATTTTGTTCTGATTTGCTTGGCTTCTACATAAAACAATGCAATAAAAATATATATTGTTTATCTGGATATTATAGCAGGTTTTGACTTTAGATGGATAAATGAAAACAATTAGTTCGAACAAGAACTGATTCAACAACCTTAATCCACTTCGAATCCTCCTTTTTCCTCAAGTAACTTGGTGCTATATGAACAGATGAAGCCTCCATTGTTGACATTCCCAAATTCTCACTACATGGCCTAGTGTGCTTAAAATCAGGAAAAACAAATCTTCACATATTCTTTGATAAATATTACCATATATTGAATCCATGCAGCTATATATGTTTTCTGGTGAAGAACATTCAGGTTTCGATCAAGTGACCCCGGCCTTTCGCTCTATGCGGAGCCGTTCTCAATGATATCATCGACAAACAAGAGAAGCAAATGCACCAATCTTAGCTGTGATTCAAATCAGTGGATTGGAAGCTTCAGGATAAAGTGAGAATGGGAATATGTTCTTAATATATGTGCAGAGATGATGATGATGATAATATACCCCATTTCTTGAAATGCATAGTTGCTTGAAGTCAAAGGAAACTTCTAAATCTGCATCCAACTGTTGATATATTTTAAAAACAGCTAAAGGAAGAACCCGTTATCTTCACATGCTTTGGATTTTAATATTGTTGTTTCTTGCTCACCAAGTTAGATTCTGCGTTGTTGTTAGTAGGCGTTTCCAAATAGTTTAGTGCACTAACAACGGTGTTCCATGCGAAAGAATATCTCAGGTTCATTTCATTTTTGTTCCATATTGTAATGAAAAGGTTTGAGGAGGGCCCTCAAGGCATCTTCTTCTTCCTTCTTGTACGGTCATTTATGTTTGTTCTTGTGATCCTTCAATGCTGTTAAGGGCAATGTACCTTTATCATAAGCATCGTTTTGTCTCTCCATTTTTTCTTTTCTTGAAATGAAGTTATTCAATTGGATAAACCCAACTCCTTTTTCCACTTCAGCAAGATGCTGCAACAAGAGCAGTTCGTACAGTCGTCATTAAAGGTATCGTCCGGCATGTCATTAATTCGAATCTCAGCATCCACAATCCTTTTCATTTTCCCAATTGTGGCGTACTTTGTCACGTGTGTATAATCATATTCTTATGCAACTTGTTAATAGTCTAAACATGAATGGGATACATTGATATCTTTATCATTTAATCATCAAGGGTAATACGGGAACTATGATCCTTTAGATTATTTTATCCATTCCTCCTCAAGAATCTCAACATCAGTCCATGGACAGTATAAATAGGGCAGCAGGGTAGTTAGTTTCTTCATCAGTTCTAAGCAGTTTAACCTTTTAAGTTCACATAACAGTTTCAAGTATACTCGTCTCTATCTGCATATCAATGGAAATGGTTACAAAGATGGTTGCAGACAGGCAAGTGGTGATCTTTAGCCAGAGCAGTTGTTGCATGAGCCATACCATCAAGACTCTCATAAGTGGGTTCAGGGAAAACCCCACCGTATACGAGCTCGACCAGATCCAGAATGGCCAACAAGTCGAAAGCAAACTGCATAAGATGGGGTGCAAGCCCTGTGTCCCGGTTGTGTTCATAGCGCAGCAGCTCATTGGAGGTCCTAATCAAGTGATGACCCTCCAAGTCAAGAACCAGCTTCCCCATTGCTCATAAGGGCCGGAGCAATATGGATTTGAAACAAGTAACTAATTCTATACTCTGAAGTCCAATACAATAGTGCTAAACAAACTCGGGTTAATGATATTGTCGCCTTAGGCATTTTTGCCAAAAGAGAACCCTTGTATACTGTTTTTGGCACTGGACAGGGTCTTACTGTTGTCCTTGTTCTAAATTTCAGACAAGCTTGAATTTTAATTTGCACATGTGATGTCCTTTTCTTTGTCTATGCTACTTGGTTGTCTGTCATTTTCTTCATTCATACAGACATTCTCAGTCACAAATGCCACTATATTATTCAAGCAACCCTATAATCCAACACTCAACGAAAATGAAAAAAAAAAAAAGGGAAAATGATACTATCTCAATTGTCATTAGACCACAAATTTCTCACTACACATAATTTATATTCACCTTTCGGTTAGGCACAACTTCTACAATTGTCATAATACCGAGTGACGTCGACGCCTTTGAAAAAAGAATCTAGATTCCGAATTTGCTTTACCCCCTAAGGGCTTAAGGTTTTTGATCCTGAATAAGGAGTTGAGCTTGCTTAAATTTTTGGTGAATGATTTGAATAACTTGTTAGCAGCATGGGACCTGACCAACTCTTGTTTCATGGACATGTGATCTTTTTCTAAGTCGGTTAGCCTCATTCTCATCCATGCAACTTCGAGTTTCAGCTCCCGGTTCTCTCTTCTTACTGATGCGTAGTTGTCTCTGGGAGAGATGGCTCCACTACCTGCACCGCTGCCTGATCGTTGAGGGAACTGACCAATGATTGCACCGAAAAAGAACTGATTGGGGCCTCCACTCATTGCGTTCCGAAGCCTGATTTGCTCGAAATATAACACTTGAACAGACATTTGCACCGGTAACCTTTCATTCTGCGCTGCGTGGCTACATGCTTCTTGTGATAGTTTTTGGCAGTCTATCGTTTTGCACAGTTGGAAACCTTCGGAATCCTTTATGTTATGGTGAACCTGTAAAAAGAATCAGAAAATGATCTTTATGTTCGTAATCGTTAGCTATGCAACTACTTGAGGCTTTCGTGTGAGATCCTTACTTTGAGGAAGATATCAACAGCTCTATATAGTCCATCGCTAACGATGCGAGCATGGTCCGGAAGTAGTTCTGCTAATGCTATGAATTTCGACGGCGACAAGTTTGTATCTAGTGCAACTTCAGCAAGGTAGGAGTCCAGGAACTTGGAAACTTTAAGGATTGAACTTTTTTGGGAGATCCCTGGTCATCGAAATCGTATGCCATTTCACTTTCATCTCTCAAAGGATTATCTTCATCATCATCTTCATCTCCCAAATTCAAAAAGATGGAGAAAATTCTCAGGGCTGACTCTATCATACATGGCTGCATGATTGTTTCCATGTGAATTGGCTGGTAGTAGTATATCTTCAAGAATTGCCTGGTCCAGTTGTAGACCGATCTGCCTCTCTAAATCCAGTCTGCAAGAAGTGGATACCGACGATGCTATTGAGGATTTCAATAAACTCGAGAGAAATGCCATGGGGATCGGACTCTTCCTCGATTGAGTAGGCAGTAAGCTAACTATGGCTTCAACAAGTATCCTTTGTTTCTTTTGCAACTCCAATTCCAATAGGCTTCCTTTTACCAAATGATGGTCCCTGACAACAAGGCTTTGAAGAGAATTATGAGTATAATTTTTCAGAATTTTGCAGATCATATCCTGTCTTAGACCTTTCGACTTTAAGGCCAACAGAACTTGCTGGAAAAATTCGAGATTAAGGATCGCCAGAGACACTCCCCACCAGTCGGATGGCGTTTCCATTTCCTTGTTTGGCATAGCTTTTGATGGAAAGTTGTGATCAAGTTTCCATAAGCCAGAAGTGAGCTGTTCTTTGCATGATTATTCGCGATCGCGTTTATAAGCCGGTTAAGATGCTTGATCTCTTCTGATATATGCAAGAGGTTTTCACAATGGTGAAGAACAGCTATGGTGCTCGATATGTTCGGGAGCACAACATCCTTTAAGTAAGCCTCAGTACGAGCTTCAAGGTTCTTCTCAGCAAACTCTTCTCCCATTTCCAGGTAATGTGATACACATCTTAACACTGCAACGTTCGATAATGTAATCTCAACATCTATCCCATAGCAGAACTTTGCCACTAGTTCAAATGCCTCCGGTCCACCAGGAACAGAAGAGAGATTTATGCGCGAAACCTTCGCATCCTTCGTGTCAACCACAAGCTTCCTGATCCTTCCACTCCAAGAAACTAGAGGAAACTGAAAGCAAAAGCACAGATGGTGTTCATAGTTCTGTTTTTGGTATTGCACCTATATGTTGCAGCAATATCTTAAGTATAGATAGTTAAACATTCATATTTTCGAACGGTCTCAAAACAGGATCCCTTCATTGCTACCATTGGAGGGAAGCATAGATTTTATATACATATGTTACCTTGTGAAGTGCAAAGCTTGATGCTACAATCTCAATCTTCAGATCACTGGAAACATCAGAAATTGGCCAGCAAATATAGATAACTAAGTTAAATGATGCTGCATAAACACTAAAAGAAAATAGGAAAATTAAAAGAAAAACACAGATGAATGCCTTAAATTAGATATCATATTTCTTGTTTTCCCATAGAACTACATTTCCATGCTTGAAACCATTAATTCTCCTCAACCAGTTCGGTCAACTGTTAAGTTTCATGTTATGTTTCCATTGAGAACATGTTTAAGATATGGACAAAGTTTGTCCTGATACCCTGGTTCGACAGTGGAGGGCCCGTGTTGGAAAACTGACAACTCAATAATTTATAACATGAGTGGTGTTTGCTCAACACCAAGAGTAAGGCACTAAAATCTGAACCAGAGACTTGAACTGCTGTTTTTGTTTTTGTTGCCGTTGATCAATAAGAATCAAGAAGGTTAGTCAGGCTCCAATTAACTTTGTTGTACGACTTTCTCGTACATGTTTTTGTCATCGTTGATCGAAATGGAACCACATATAAGGTCGAGATTGCAGCTCGAAAAAGGGGCTAGTCCATCGCATTCGACCCCGACCGTCCCGATGGATAATCAAGTGGTGCTGTCTAATAGAGGTGGCCTTATAGATGAGGCTGATAACTGAGTGGAAGCCTTTATGAAGTATGGGCGGGGAATTCTATCAAAAATGACCTGATCATGTTCACACTTTAACAAGAAACCACTCTAAGCATGCATTCATGCATAAATTTATGATCACCTAGGAAATAGTACACAACACCAATAAATCAGTTGTTGGTTTTGTAGAATGCAGTTGGAAAACGTCTCTTTCATAATTAAAATTTAATACGTATGAGTGAAAGTAAACGAAAAACTACTCTGCAACAAACGTAGATTTGTTTCATGGAATTGGAAATAATTGCAGAAAGGAATGTTATACCCTACCATTCAGTGGCATGCGTTATACTCGAACTGGAACGAAAATATCTCTTCCCAGATATACTTGTTTTCAGTTCAGCAACAGTAACATAACCCATATTCTCAAAAAAGAAGCCACTAAAATTCAGCTCCCTCTGAAACCTCAAATATCTGGTTTGTTCTGCAGCTGATACCTTCTCTTAATGATCTTTCTAGTGCTGAAAGGGAAAAAGGGTGGACTGAGGTAAAAGTAACATGAACTCATGCAGGATTAAAGTGTAGTGATGATTTTTCCAATATACTTTTTAACGAGTGTATATAATGTGCCTAATCTAAAGTCAAGAACGTGTGTTGGTGTATGCTGCTTCTTACTTTTCGGTGAAAGGTAGCGAGAGAGATAAGTAGGGGTGACAACGGGACGGGAAGGGGCGGGACGGTTTTGCATTACCTATTTTATTCTCAATATTTGCAGGTATGGTTTTTGGGAATCCTCGTTATATGTTTTAGGAATTTTTTATCCTCATTCTCATCCTTACAAATCCCTACAGGTTTCAATTAATTTCCATCCCAAAAATAAATAAACATTTTTGAAATTAACGTAACACCTAAAACTTATAAGATATATCATATTGTCTCAAATTGGTTTCTATTTATAATATGAAAGTTTCAAATGTTAATATTTATCTAACACTCAATGTATATGTATAATTTTAACTATTTTCAATATCAACAAATCAATGTATATTAAATAAGAAAAAAACTAAATTTCAATTTTAGTTCATTTGAGATGTAATAGTGACAACACGTAATTTCACAGATATTTTTCGATGATCCCCACGATTATTTTTCTAAAATATTGGGGATCATTATGATTATTTTTCAGGGACCCCACATTTATTCACACAGGTACAATTTGATTATCCTCACGGTTCGAATATAGCAATCCTCGTCACTATTCTCATTGAGCTTCGGGGATAAAACTTCTTTCATCCTCATCCTCGTGGGTAAAGATTTCAGTTATTCCTCATCCTATCGGTTTGGATCCCCACGATTATTGATTTTTCACCACCTGATTACCACCCATATAGATGTGTATAAAATATAATTGTTTAAAACAACATAAAAAATTGTAATAAAATTTTTTATTAAGAATAATATAATAAATTGTAATAAAAACAACATAAAATATTAAAAAGTTATATATTTTTTCGATTGTACGCTTTAAATTCATTAAATATAATATTTTTAATTACAAACAAAAATAAAATAGAATTATATAACCTTTTAAATTGAATAAAATAATATTTTAAGTTAAATATTATAAATTAACTTTAAACTAATCCGCCGTTTAATAGAATTATTCAAGTGGGAGTGTTTTTTTTTTCATTTTTAAATGAAAGATTAGAATATTATATTAGTGTAAAGGACTCATTAGTCATTAAAGTAGGGAAATTAAGAGGATGAATTGGATTAAAGTGTTATAATTAGTTCCACTGTCTCATCTGTCCATACAACATCATCACTGCTTTCAACTTTGCAAAGAATATATAAAATATATAATATAGAGTATTTGCAGTCCTATGAAATTAGATACATAGGCCTTCGATTATGGACATTTCACTGCCTCAATCCATTCCTTCTGCCTTTACACAAACTTTAGTGCAAAACGTTTGTAGGTTTTTGCACTGTTGGCTTGGGGCAAACATGAATAGTGTACTCTAGAATATTATAAAATTCATAATATTTTTATTGCGTATAATTTAAAATATTATTTTTTAACATAAAATATATTATTAGATAAATCAAATCAATTGATGTGAAGAAAGAATTTATAAAAAAAATATTGTTATAAGGCCAAATTGAATAAAACATGAAATCGATAAATTAAAGTAAAAAATGTTATGAAAAAAGAGAAATTGAAGTGACATGTGTACACTAGAATATTGTTAACAAGCACATGGTTCAAATTTGATTAAATATGAACTTAAAAGCAAAATAGGAATCAAAGAAACGAGAAAATCGTGACCAAATAGTAAATAATCAAATTATTTAGTTATGGATCAAAACGGTGTA